AAATTCAAGGTGGCCTGAGACCACGGTTTGCTGCCCTAAAACACTCTGTTCAGGCCACCTTGAAAATAAAGGTCTTGTAGCTACAATTCTGTTCCCAGGTATGGCGCGCATCAGGCTTCACAGACAGTGGAAATAGCTTCTTCCCGGCTTTGCACTGCGAATCAGCCCCACAAAAGCGCTGGCTTTCGTTTTGCAGCTTCTCAGGTGGTGGAGGCAGGCACTGGTAGCAAAGATGCAAAGATGTGGCATTGTGAGTTGTGTGCGTCAAAAGCGGTAGACGTGGTAAGTTTGACAAGCTGAGACCTTTTTCCTGCGATGCCCCAGCGTTGCTGCACGAAACCAGCTACGATTTCGAAAGCAGTGCAAGCGCGATGTGGCAACCTCATGACATGCGCGATGTGGCAACAAATGGAAACCATAGTAGGCTTCTTATTATTTCTAGTCTTTCTCTACATTGAAGGTCGTTTGTAGTATGTGCATCTTAGCGCCTGTGCATGGCACAGCGGGTGGAGATTTGATTCTGGCCGCTTTGGAGCGGCAGATGGTGAAGTGATCGGAATTGGCTTGGCCTGCCAGTAGGAGCATTGGCTTGGGGCGTTTTGCAGTTTGGGTTGTTGGCAATTGGTGTAGAACATGTGTGGCAGGTCACATGGCAATGCTTTACTGTACTTACATATATAGGTGGGTATGTATGCATGTCATGTATGTTTGTCTATATTATATATACACGTATGTAGGGGGTATGTAAATTACATATATATATATATGCAATGCATGCATATATGTCCAAATGTATGCACTGCATCGTGTTGTGATTCATTGTGTTGTTTTGTGTGCATACCACGTTCTTGGTAAGCACGCCAGGCCGCAGCACAAGGCCTGAAGCGACGCTTCCGCAAGGCGGGCTCCGTGCGCCGGGGATCACGAGAAAAGCGGAAGTGAAATCCCAGTGTGGCTTATCCTGAGCAGAGATGCAAGAAATTCTGCACCGACATCTTGATTGTTTTTAAATATTCCCCCCTCTCAGGGTGTTGTTTGGATGTTTCAGTCAGCAAGGTTTCTTCAGGTTTCCAGGCCGATTTGCAGCCTCTTGCACGAGAAGATCGCAAAATGAACCTTTAGTGCGCTTAAAAATCCACACTTAGATCGTTTTGGGCCACAACCAACTGGGAATGAACCGATGTTCCATGGGTTTCACCACCAACTGGGCGCGACCTCCAACCTCAGCCACTCGTTTGGTTACATCTCATTGGATAGTCTGTGCTTTTACGGCAAAAAGGCTTAAGGCACTAAGAGATTATTCCACGACAGCAAGTAAGTACATACTCGCCCAGAGCCCATTTGACCCCTGTTCTGGTAGGAAAAGCCACGTTCTAGAAGGTTGCTGAAAACCTCGGGTTCTAAACCCAGACAGAACCTTAAAAACCGCCCCTGAAACACTGTCACTAACGCAACTCAGTGCAGCCAAATGGGATCAACAAACAACTTTACTGATGATTTCGAGACAGAAGTGTGCAGTGTAGTACTGAAGTGTGCAGTGCAGTGATTTCAGCACACTCCTTTGAAGTGCTGAAAGACGTCCCGACTTGAGGTGACCTTGATGGACTGCATCGCGCGCTTGGCCGGGTCAGCCCAGCAACGTCCCGACCAAGATCGGCAGGTGTCGATGTGATAACATGTCGAAACATGGTAAGAAGAACCTGCACTGTCCAGAATGGCCTCTTGATTCTCAGGAGATGCCTGGAAGACCATGTTTGCCACTTAAAAGTTCTGGGTTTTCCACATGTTTCGTTTGCAAAGTACGCCGCACGAGGGGATTTCCACGCCGCACGCGGGCCGCACGTTGGTCGCCTCAGGTGGTGAACGAAAGCATCCGATTGATCAGTGGTCGACCTGCCGGGTCACCGATCTCGACAGCGCGGCGCTCCGCGGCGGAGCGTCCGGTGGATGCCGGCGTGATGCGTCCGGTGGCTAGGTCTTTTGAAGGCCATGATTTGGTGTGTGTTGTCTTGTGTTGTGTTGTGTGTTTTGCTGTATTTCTTAGATGTGTCCTGTTGCTTGCCAAAATAGGTTCCTGTTTTCAAGCTGGTAGAACAGTTTTTTGTTATTTTCCTAACCCACAACTGAAAGTTGAACGCTTGGCTAGGTGGTTGGTATTTGCGATACACAGCACAGCTGCCCTTTGGTACTCGAGGGTTGTGCCAGACTTGATTCCGAGACCTCTGTCCAGTTGTCCAATCATGACCCATGACCCTTGGAATCTTCTATTGATGGCACGCCCCGCCAGGGCCACAGGTACAATCATACTTGCAGTGTGAGTTTGTCATCTACAAATTCAAGACACGAAACACAAAAACACCAAAGGCCAACCAAGTAGACTTGGAGGTTCTTTCCAGTTTGTAGGCTTGACATTTCGTCCCTCACTGCATGCTATACCACGGTCTTTATGAGGCTTGGATCTACCACTGTCAGATCGAGTTCATGGCACTCGAAGATCTTTGCAAGGCGAGAGTGCGTTGGGGAGCAAGATTGGGAGAAAGAATTGGTCAAAGATGGTTCCCAGCAGTAGTCCAAGAGATCAGATTGTCAGCGCTTCAGTCACCATCTACTCATTTCTAGTCAAGACATTGAGCAAGGACAGTGTCGATGAGATAACAAACGCCTTTTTTTTGAGACATATATTAGTATCATATATAACCTCAGACGAACATGACTTCAAAAAAAACAACTGGAGCATGGAATGGATTCTCAGGATGGAATGCATTCTCAGGCTTGGTATTTCTTGCATGTGACCTGTACTCAGGAAAAAGAAGCAATAATTTGATCAACCTTGGGTTTCATCACGGACTCATCATTGACTACTGATAGTCCGAGTATGTCTGAGAAATATGGAAACAAACACACAAACTGATGTAGAGTCTGATAGAGGAGCTTGCAAACAGTTCCGAAAGGTCCTGTTTTTGTTGGGGGAACAAACAATTCTGTCAATCCTACACAGTCATATGCCTCAGCCACGAACCTGTGCCATGCAGGCCGTTCCCTATGCCGGGCTGCCTGAGCTGAGACATGATGCGGCCTTTTCCTTCAACCGGGCAGACGGGGGAAGCCCTTGTCAAGGACCCACTTGGTACTGAGGAAAGGTGGTCTTCTCATGTCTTCAGGCGAAGGAGACACATGTCCCATCGATCTCCAATCGAGAGGATTCACCCGCTATTCACCGGATTCGGATGGTTTTCCGATGTTTTCCACCCAACATCACACCAAACTGGTCCGCCAGGTTCAAGGGGAGATATCGTATGATCAAGCTTGTGACTGGGTGAAGAGGGATCAAATGAGCAGAGGCTTGCTAATTGCTCCAATTTGCGTACGAGCAAGCGATGCAAAAGCAAAGTTCCTGGCAGCATTCTGCTAGAGATGGCCACTTGCGCCCGGCCGCCGAAGGTGACGGAGGACCGGCCTGGGCCAAAGACAGATCCAGAACAGATCATATGAGCCATATGATGTCATATGATCATATGTTCCTGATATATGCTGTTTGATGTCATATGTCATTCATGATCTTTGTCATTTGCTTTGAACATTTCTGATAGCAGAGCATCATGTATTTTTGTGTCTAACATGTTTCATATCCGAGAATCAATCCAGTCAGGGAGTTGAAAAGATCTAGGTCAGTATGCGTTGGTTTCGGTATTGATTTGTTCGCAGTGGTGATATATACTGTAGAACGTTACAGATATAAGAAAGTCCTCTGGATGGGGTAGCTAGGAGTCCCTTTTCGAGAAATACATGGTGGGGCAGTGAGACTCCAGTTCGGTCCCTGCCTCTTACGTCAGTCTTCGCTCCGGTGTTCGGTGGGCAGTTGTTGAAAGAGATGCGGAAGAAAGAGAGAAGAGGTGTTGCATTAATGATGCATTTTTGGGGCTGTACCCATCATATCATGATTCATCATGTGTTTGTTCTTTCAAATTTACATTACAAACAAAGGAACTCGAGTTTTCCTCCACGGCCCATACTGGGCTATATAATACCATGCATGTTTTCCCAGTAAATATTCCCTGTCCACGTCCAACTGTTTGATCACATCACGGACTGACCATTCTTTTCCTCTCAAGCCTATGTCGCACTGCCACTGCTCCACCCCACGCGCGATGTTTGCCCCTGGCCTTTCCGAGCGCTGCCGCCACTTGGCGCGGCGCCTCCGCGCGCGCTGCACGACAAGCTTCGACGAGGACGCTGAGCACGTGCAGCGCTACGCAGCCTGGGCCATGGGGCACCGCTCCGCGGCCGAGGGCGTGCGGACGGCGGCCTGCACCTTGAAGGAGGTCGGCAGCTGAAACGGCCTGGAAGGAGGGGGGTGCCCTAGAGGGGTACCTCAAGTAATCAGCTAACTGTGGCAACTGTCATCCGTAATGCTGGGAACCCCTGACATGAGCCGAGTGGCAGGCCGCCAAGGCCTTGGAAGCCATTGAGGCTGAGCTGGCCGATCTCACCAGCTCTGTGAAAGGTGTCCAGCAGCAGACAGTGCCTTTGGCGAGATGATGGGGATAATGATAGGCTCAGATGAATGCAGTTGTTGGAGCAGTTGGCAAGAGATTGGGAGACTAGGCAAGGGGTGTACAGTGTTGAGCATGTTGGGGAGGAGGAGGGTGGGCTTTTGTGGGTTGCTCTTCGATCACCGTGCGATTTTTGGTGACTGTTGGTTCTTGATTGGATGATGCTGCAGGCACTGCAGGCCTGCCCTGGACAATTTAAGGTTTAGAGTATCTGCGTTTGATTGACAATTCTCTCCAGTCCCCTTCCTGGTCGCATGTGGTCCTTCTTCACACCTTCCAGTCTTCCACTCCAAGCCTTCTGCCGGGACCAGGTGAAATTGGAATCTCTCTTTGGTCGAGGACCAGAACAAGACGCCCTGCTCACTACAGTGCTTTCAGATCTTCTTTGGTTCTTTTGCGCTCTTCTCTGGTCTTCTTCATGGTCAACGTTTCAGGGCCTGTGTTCATAGACTGACCAGCAAACTTCCCCGAAATAAAACTACCACCTACGGTACTGAAGGTTAGCATTTGTTCTATATATATATAGACTGAAGTGTCCAAGCTTTTGCCTGGAAAGCCCGACGGTGAATCCTCGACGTTTCAGAGTTGTCCAAACCAGGTTGCATCACCAGGTAGTAGAGAGTCATCTGATCTAGATTTTATAGATGTCCAATGTGTATAATTTCCAGGATTTGCAACTATGCTGTCTACATGTGGCTGCTATTTGCAGGGAACTTTGAACTGTTCAATGATCAATCATCTCGCAACAATGCCTAACTTCGCCGTGATTCTTCCATCTCCGCACCAATTTTCCTGATATCACCCGTTCTTTGAGGATCTCAAGCCGGCCTGTCTCGCCACGCTGGCTGAGCGTTTGGCGACCGCTGCGCACGCGTCATTGGAGATGTCACTTGGACGTGGCCGCAGGATGGAGGGATCTAGAGGAAGGTCATGTTCCACGGCCGTTTTGTGGTTCATAGGCTAGCTTGGGAGGACTTTCTTGAGGACGGAATAGGACGGATGGGCCAAGGATGGCGAAGGATAAAGGAACTTAATTCTTATCGGAAGAAACTAAACACACACAATACTGGCTAATGCGCATATGGGAACATTGACCTCCTGGACCCAGGAGGTCACCTCCTGTTGAGCATGACTATCGGCAAGAATGACATGTTGGATCCGCATTCGAATGCTGAACAACGATTCCTTCCCCACTTCGTACAGTCATCATGCCATCTCACTCCAGAACCCCTGCCACACTCATTTGGCAACCTTAGACCACCACCTTTTCTCCATCCCTCCTCTTCCGCTTGCGACTGCCGTCCCAGGACCAGCTGTTTGCCTGGCTCCACCGTCTGGGTGAAGCTCCCGGATCCTTCCACTTGCGCGAATACCTTGGAGGCCACTGCCCAGGCCTTGGAGGAAGGCCCGTCGGATGAATCAGCGCGTGCATGAGCGAGCGTGTGTGAGCTGGGATTTGGGTGGGTGAGGTTTGACAGGGCGCGGATGAAATATGGCATGTTCCTCACTTGGGCAGTACGAGCCCAATAGAAGGCATGCAAAGTTTTATCGAAGATTGGAGGTCTGCAAGCCGAATGGCAATGGTTTGGATGCGTAGCCTGCGTAGCTTCTGCGCATCAAAAGGGGGGCCCGGAAGAGGTGAACCTGTCGAGCAGTGCAATGCCCGGGTGCCCACCTCCAGAATTCAAAATAATTGCTAGCAAACATCCAAACCACAGTAGACTATGCTACAACCATACAGGCCATAAATATCCGCCCCGATTTACACCCCAAAGAAGGACAGTCGAGCAGACTGAAAAAGTCGAGAGAGGGAGAGAGAGAGAGAGAGTTGAGATTGGTGCACAGAGTCACTATACACACTGAAAGAAACGGCAAGACAGTGCGGTGCTCTTTTTTATGTGATGCGTGTTCGTGCTGGACAAAATTTCATGCCAGAAAGGGAAAGTGCATTTGTTCGTGTTGGGTGTGAATCCCTTGCACCACTAGCCTCACACAGCTAGTTTGTGCAATGATAGTAATGTATAGCATAAAAGTTCTAGAGATACAATGTAGAATGGTTGTGAATTGGCGTTGTGTATATACCTGGATGTTCAAGCGCCACAAAATCTTGCCGGAGACCATTTTCAGTCAACAGACGCCGTAATCACAAAAGAATACTGTTTTCGGGGTTCAAGCATATTCGCAAAATGCTCTTCTTCCGGGGCCTATGTTCCATTTCACTTCCGTGGAAATGTGAGTCGCAGTGTAAACAGTGGTCCCCAAATAAATAGACACACTGTCCAATACATTCTTCGTGGGGATCTACGAACTTCTATTTGTTTATTCATTGCTCGATCCTTGGCCACCCAGTCCTCTTGGGTCCTCTTGGGTCCCACTAACTTGCCAGGCCACCAGATGCTGGAGGAGCTGCGTGCACGGCTCCTGGCGGCCGAGCGGCGCATGTGGGCCGCTGAAGAGGTCGAGCCAGGCACAGCCAACACTGGAAGAATGAGCACCCTCGAAAGACAAGTGCAGAAAAACTAAGGCGGAAAACATACAAGTGCAATCAAATCAGAATCATGCAAAGGCTGCAAAGGCCTCTAAAAAATAAAAAGTTCAAGCACATGAACTTTCACTTTCGCATCCGTCTGTCGCAAGAGGACCAAGCGGCAAGGGCCATTCCGAGTGCCACAAGAGCCAATCACCTCCCACAGATTGGAAGAGGACCGGGGGGTGGGCTGAACTCATTTCGGGAGTCATCCAAGGTCCTGTCAGATGATAAAAGAAAGCTAAAAAAAACTCTTCCAAATAGAGGTTCTTCAGCGTGTCATGGACATGTTCCATGTTTCAACGTGTTCTATTGTTCGACTGAAACAAGTAACTGCGCGACCATGGTGGATGGTCTGGAACGACTGACTGGCCAAGATAAATGTCTGGAAAATCTCAGGAAGTCCCAAGTGACGTGCCGTGCAAGTCGGCTGTGGTGACTCCCCCCAAAGCACCCAAACCAGTGGATAAATCATGTCACCGCGGTACAGATCATCCCTGCATGTATATTATTATATATACATACATCATTACATATGTACTATATATATATTGCAGTACTCAGTACTATATAGTACTGAGTTACTGTATATATGCAATTATACACCTGTTTACTGATATGACTAGTCCATTTGTTCTGAATGTGGACCACTATACGGTGCCAAACCCAGGGCCAGTTCAACCTGCTGCACCTTGTACAAGTTTGGGGAGAATGCCGGTTCTGCATTCTCAAGGATTAGCGGATGTTTGCGTGTTGAAATACGCATGGCTGTCCGGTCATCCGTCCCAATCAACAAACAGCAAGAAGATGTTCAGCTTATGGCCTGTGTAAATAACACATAAATAAATAAATGTACGATATATATATATATATTAACACGATGATGTATTGCTTTGTTTCCAATGACCATATTGATTTTGGGTGACATCACATATGAACCTGCGCTTTTAAGAGCTCCAGGACCATCACTCGATTTCACACTCGCGACTCCTCCTCACTCGCCAGGGCCCGCGAGTGCCTCAAGTGCCTCCGTCGGGGTTCCCGACCAACTCCTGTGGCCGCCGCCATGGTTGTGGACGCACTGAATCAGAGCTTCCACGTGCCGCTCAGATCCTGGGATCGGGAGGTGAAGAAGACCGGGAATGAACTGGGATGGACTAGTGGGTGACTGGTCCATGCCACAAAATCCTCATGAGTCAACTGGTCCAAGCCGCTGAGTGAGTGGACATGTTTGACATGAAGATAGGGGGGACGTGTATGAACATGTTTGTTCATCACGAAAGAACCAAGCCACAATGTGACTTTGGGTCAAGACATACAGGACAGCTTATATAATATAGCTGAACCTTCCTTTTCTATGTTTGTTTAATTTGTAGCTTAGCTTCAAGCTTCGCCCGTTTTCAAATCAACGTCGTTTTCACGTGGAGTTTCGACCTGCTGGGCCACATGTTCTCTCTCCGACCCGAGACCGGCCCGGCGCGACGACGCCGAGGTTCGATGATTTGACCGCACAACTGGCCCGGCTCTTCGAAGAGATGGTTTGCTTGGACACAGATGTGAGCTCCCTTTACCCGTCGCGCACCGAGTGAACGGTCCGCGCGGGGGTGATGTTGAGGTTCGGAGCGAAACCGGGTGTTCGGTCGGTTCCTCGGCGGTCGAGGATGTGGTGACCCTTTCGTCCTAATTGAACGCCCTTCAGCTAAGGGGCGTTTGGACATCTGCTCGCCTCATTCAGCACCCAAACCCAAGGAGAGCCAAAAATTCATCGCAACCTATGGCCATTGGCATTCCCACCCAAGGTCCTTGCTGGCGGCTGCAGAGGTGCAGTCGGAGCTCTTGGGCTGGAAGCTCCAGTGGCAAACTGTTTTGAGCAATGCGCCGCAGGTCAGGGGCGTCCAGATCTCCCAACCGAGTGGGACCTCGGGTTGGTGGGTTCGGTTTTCTGGGTCGAATGCAGAGGAATGACTCAGATGTTGGAAGGGTAGATTAATGATGCGTACTGGGTTTGTCCTATTACCTGTAACGGTCAGCAAACAATTATGACTAGTTTGAACAAGGCCTTTACTAAGCATCATCATCCACTGTTACTGGTAATGGGATAGACCCAATATAAGCTAATATATGCGTAGATATATTTGTTACACCACAAGGCACACAAATACTTGGGAGCCTAATTGTTCATGTTGAAACAGGCCTAGGGGAGGACCTTGGAGGTGAGTCAATCGAAAACTACAAAGGGTAATTACTATCAACTGTGAAGTCGCTGAAGGAACTGTGAAGCCGCTGAAGGTGTACACTTTCTTTCAAAGGATTGAACACCAGGTCTGGCAACTGCTTTGGAATGTTTTGTGGTCTCCAAGTTCTGGCAACTGCTCCGGGGCGCCTGCACGCTACAGGCAGCGTCACTTCCACCTGGCTTCGAGGAGTTTCTGCAGACGGTGCCCCGCTTTCTCAAAGGATGACCGTCTCATCACGAGAATGTGAGGGTGCACGGTGGTACATGCAATAACCTGGTTCAAACGCTTGAGTTTGCCTGGCTACTGTAGATCAGAGCTACTTCTGGGTGGGAAAGAGATACCTGTGTTGGGGTACTTGCAAGAGAGCAACACGCATGATCAAATGACGTGACACTAAAACTCACAGGCATTCTTCGCTTGTGGCCAGGGCACCCACCGGCCCGCTCCGCGCCGGTGGCCCGGAGCGTCCACGCGTCCGCGTCCTCAGGTCTTGGCAGTGGGAGATGTGTTGGCCAACTCGGCGGAGTCCTTGGAGCAACGAAGGAAGGCTCGGCGGTTGTTCCAACGAAGACGTGGGCCGTGTTGTTTTTTTTCAGAGTGGGCTTCGGTTTCTTTGCGCTCTTCAGAGCGGTGGGAAGATGAAGACTGAAGACAACATGCGAAGGATGCTGGAAGATTTTTGTCCCGATGGATGGCTATGGATGAAGATGGGAGGTTTGGTTCGTTTGGTTCGAGGGACCACGTTGTTTGGGGCACCCATTTCATCTTTATCGTCCAAGAACTCCATGTGTTTGAGGGCACCAGTCGTTTGCTTGACACCCACATCCATCCTCTGAGTCTTCGTGACAGTGCAGAGCTGGATTCCTTCATGTTGACATGGACTACATGCAGTCAGTACCCCACAGACGCGACGCGACGCTGCGTCTGGCTGCGTCTCGCCCGGTCGGTCGAGTAGCGTTGCGCGATCGACCAGACTCACCGTGAGAGCTGAGTCGAGCGCGACCATCACGAGGTGATGGTCGAAGAGCTGAAGACTTCCATCGAGATCCAAGCCGCGAGGCGCGGTGGAGTGAAAAGAGGGCTCTTGAGCATGCGTGCAGAGGTTCTGTGGCGAGTGTAGGTGGCGAGGTTGTGTTGCCTGCAGGGGCGCCGGTCGGGTTCTAGCAGGGTTCACGTGCTTTTTGGAGGGTTCAAAAAAACGTCGACCTTGTGCTCCAGTTCTTTTGCCTGTTTGACACTGAAATTGCCATAAGCATTCATAAGCCACCATAAGCCTGTGCTCAGGAATTGCTGCCGCGAAGGCGAAGCTTCGCTGGCCGTGAGAGTAAACTGAGATGCTGGCGAGATGCGCCTCGGGGCAAATCGCCAGGGTACGCCTCTGTTTGGGGGCCCGAAACAGCTGGCTGTGAGTTACATTCCGGACCTATAGAACTTGTATAGACTTGGTAGTCTGAGGGTTGAGCCATGAGGCCCCTTCACTGTAAAGGACTGCTCAACCCTGTGACCGCCACCTTGCATGCAGCCGGCCACCGTTTGTACAAACTGCCGCGCTGAGAGACCTTGTACTGAGTGGGTGCTCCTGCTTTGCTTCGCCCGGCATTACGTCACCGTGTACAGGTTGCTTGCAGGTCACTCACAGATTCCTTGCAGATGGACCACATCAAGAGAATTGGTTTTCCACAGTCTGGCCAGACCCCCGACTGCCGCAATTCGACCAAAAAAGGTGTTTGAAACCTTCCAGCTTCAACCAAGACAGACAAGAAGACCTATCATCAGAAGACAGACAAGAACACCCTGTTGCAGTGAGAAGAAAGACCCCTCCTCCACACCTCGAAGAAACATCCCTTGCTTTGATGGACCAATGGATCGTAGGAGCCCGGAGTTGCAGATTGGGGCGATTTGCTACTGCTACTACTGGATACATCTGGATTTTCTTGTTGAGAGAAGAAGTTCTGCACAAAGTAAAACGGGGAAAGCTCATCATTTACCCGTGATTTGGTGGGTCGAGCTCCAAGGATTTCTTGTTTACCCTGTTTTGGACAAGTATTTAGCGTCGTCACCTTAACATGCCAAGACGACAGGCTACTTGACTGTTTTGAGGATGTGGAGTGCACGATACCATGTGTACTGTCATGATTGTATCGAACCGAACATCATTCACGTGATGAACACCACACTATGCCACACTGCCAGGAGCCCCTAAGCGTCCTTGCTCCTAGTAGCGAGGCCAGGAGCCCCTAGTAGCGTCCTTGCTCCTAGAAGCGATGCCAGGAGACCCTAGTAGCTTCTTGTTCCTAGTAGCGTCCTTGCTCCTAGTAGCGAGGCCAGGAGCCCCAGTAGCATCCTTGCTCCTACTAGTGTTCTTTTGTTCCTATGCGTTTGGTTCAACGCTTGGCATCGCTTGGCAACCGCCTGGTGAACGCACCTCAGTTCCTTTGGACAAACAACACGCCGGTCCGATTGATCTCTCGGACTCGAAGGACTCTTCGTCGAGCGCCGTCCGAGATGAACGAGACATTCAAAAGGATCTCAGATACCATGAGATTTGATACATGTTTTTTTTTTGGATTTTTGTTGGTATATTATCATATTATAGTATTGTATTATGATGTATTATGTAATACATAGATATGTATAGATAAGCCGTAATCACCCCAAGTATCTCCTGCACATTCATTTCGACATCGCCTACATACTCCTATAGTATTAGATACCTTCTATTCTATGAGCTCACAGACGTGTTTGGCACTTTTGCACCCTACTGAGGCTGCAATCCTTTCTCACGGATCACGTTTGCCGACAACTGAAGCAGCTCGGCTTGTGCCCAGAATCACTCACTTTCCGCGGGGTCGTCCGGGTCCTTTTTCGGTGAGATTCAAAAGCAGCATACCAGCTGCTTCCAAGGGGTCACCAGCTGCTTCGACGGCGGTCAGGATGGATTCTTGGCCTTTTGGTCACGACGTTTGAGTCCATTTGCCAGTGAACTCAGATGGTGCATGTGATTTTATTCACCAACCATCACCAACCCTACATGACGGGTCGCTCATGAGCATCTCCAAGAAATTGCAGTGTATATATTATATATTATATATATAGTGGCCTCCCTTAGTTAGCAAGGGTGTGCATCAAAACTCAGGACTCGATGATCCGAGAAAAACAAATCAGAACCATAATTGCACAATAAATAAATCATGTGTAACAAGATGTGCATCTCCCAAAGCCCTCCAAAAGAGTGGCACGTGGTCGTCCTCGACCGGAGCTGTTCTAATGGACCGACCACGCAGGCGGGAGCTGTCGAAGCTCATCAAGGAGTCCAAGGATGTCCCGGTGGTCCAGGCGAAAAGAGACGGTCGTTTTCGTCGGAAAGGTCCGGATTTACATGTGGAAAGACCCGTGTGGCATGCCAAATGAATTATATAAATGGTTTTCTTTGGAGGCCAAGGAGGGGGGTGAAAATGGGGGGTGTGAAGATGTGTGTTTCAGGTTTTCGCGGTCTTCTTTTTTTTGAGGGGATTTGGTTGGCTCCCAACTCCCAGTTCAGAAGCTAAAGGTCGGAGCTTCAGGTCCCAGGTGCTGATCGGAAGATGTTGTTCCCATGCGTCCCAGTTGATACCATTCCTGCATCATGGGAGAATCTTCTCCACCATGTTCAGATTGATCCTGAGAGCCTCCTTTAGCTAAATATTTGTGGGAACCGGAGTTGATCTTCTCCCAGTGAGGAAGCAAAAAGCACTGATGGTGAGGAGTGACGAGTCCATTTGATGTCGAGGAGTCCAGTGGAAAGTGGATGACAAGCAGTGATGGACAAGATTCCATGGAACACCTCTCATAAATACTCGGGCCTGTTCTTTTTTTGGTTTTCGCAGTCATACTCTAGAAGATGATGTCCTGCACAAGTGACCAAGCATCGCTTGATCGGAAACAGCGTCCACTTGGCGAAATTCATGTCTTTCAACTTGTGCAGGTCGCGAAGAAACAAAGCGACCAAAACTGCTAGAGTACGCTGGAGCGTCCACTTGGTCCTTTTTGATGCCTTTAGGAGATCAGGACATGTGACCCGATCTCACAAGCAAAGTGTTGCTTTTCAAAGGACGCTTGGCAGCGTTCCTGGTCTCACCCACTTCGCACTTCCTCCCCACATCTCCCGACCGTGGCCAGTCCGTGAAGCTCAAGGCTGCTGCCAAGGAGCGTTGTTGTCGTCGGCACCGGGACGGGTTCGGGGGTTCGGCGTCTTGGAGCGAGCTACGGAGCTTGTGAGACGTGTGAGACGTGTGTGTGACGTTGCTCGACGTTTTTCACCACTGATGGTCGGGAAGGACTGGATGACAACGCCTGTTGAACATGTTTTTTCTTGCTGGATCAACTCGGAAAGTCCTCGCAGAGAACAAGTCACTGGCAGATCCTGGAAGAGCTTTGCCAAAGACTCAGTGCAAGTGAAATAGTGGTTGACCAGCCCGACAGTTTTTCTTGTGGGAAGAATGTATGATGTGGAAATGATTGGTCAATATTGGTCAATGCCAAATACCCCAAGATTCTGCAGGTTGGACATCGCAGTCCTGGTTGTGAAAATATTATTCACCTGGGGCTCACCATATTCCCAGTTTTGATCCACAACTTGGGACCCACAACAATATATGTCTTTGTAGCTGCAAGAACGGAACAGAATGAACAGAGACACCCAGAGAAGTCTCTTTCTCAATCAAAAGGCAACTATGGCTACCCACGCGACCGTGAGCATCCCAACAGTTTTGTCTGCGTCAATCAGGCTTCTTGATGCTTCCCATACATGTTTGTATGGCCATGGCCACCTCGAATTCGTTGCACCATCATTCCCCTTCTGGAAACCATACTCGGTCGACGAGTCATTCAGCTAGATCCGCAGAAATGCCAGGACAACGAAGAAGAAGGAGGAGGCACTTCTGCTGAGTCAAGTCCGCCTAGTGCTGGTCCTTAATATGTCCACTTGAAGTTCAGTACTTACTCTGTGCTTTAAAGAATAAGGAGCCTGCACTGTCCCACCCCCTTGGCCAAAGATGGAATTCCCATCAAGTACCCCCCCCAAGCAAGGCCATATACTGTACGACCAATCATTCCACTGGGCCCTTGGGCATTTGTCTCTCCAGGCGACAACGAAGACTTGGAGGAGACGGGCGAGAGAAGTGAGTGGTGTCGGTGGTCAGTACTCGTTTGGGCGAGAGAAGTGAGTTTGGGACCCATTCTCACCTGAGTTCTGTTCGTGTTCCTTTGTAGAACAGTTATATAGCAGGGGATAGATGGGATTATTTGATAGATACATAGATACATTGCATATATACATCAGATAATCATCATATACAACCAAACATATCCTCGACGTCCTCGACGTCCTCGCCATGCATCACGCCGTGATCGGCCGCCGCTGGGGGGGTGAGACGGACCACACGAGAAGAAGAACCCACGCTCCCAGGTGTGGCCGTGGCAAGGACCCCCTGGGTTTGGTTCGGGAAATGGTTCGGGTAATAGCCAGTGGTGAGGGGTCTTCCTATTACACCCACGCCAGACCGCCAGAGCAAAGTGAGGAAACAGTAGCTGATACCCCTTCACCGTGGGCTTCACCGTGGGTATATATTACAAGAGACCTTAGACACCCTCTTGTGGACCAACCCAGGGTAAAGCTAGAGTGGACGCCCGTGTGGCTGCTCTGCCTTAAGCAACGTTGGTGTTAGCTGTTAGCTATTGGCGCTGGCCTCACTGGCCCTGGTATGAATACATGGCGTATGTGAGGCTATCAGTGATCAGGAATTGGAGATCGTCATGTTGCAGACACCTTTTTTTCTCAGCTCCTCCTCCTCCTCCTCCTCATCATCATCATCATCATCATGATCATCATCATTATCATCATCATCATCGTCGTCATCGAATCGTCGTCATCATCATGCTCATCATCGTTGCATCATCGTTGCTCAACATCACACACACACACATCATCACATCTCACACAAACATCATCCGACCTTGTGCACAAGAGAGTGACCAGGTGGGCCAAGTCGTGTTTAATTTCGAGCAGGGTGGCCGCCATCTAACCTGATGCACATCAAGGGTGCATCAAGCGAGAGCCTGTCGAGCTGAGATCCATCACCCTCGCTGATCATTGCCATGACCAGGCCACAAAGAAGAAGAAACGAAGACCGGGAGACCCAGTGTTTGGAGAGATGCTCAGGCATGGCGCCTCACACAATGCCGCGACTCCAAAACAGAAAAGCTTGGAGTTTGTGAGGGATGACAGCAAAGCCTGTCTCACGTGGATGCATGAACCTAGCTTTCCAAGAAGTGTCTTTAATTATGTTGGCAGCAAGAAGTGTGGCCATTTCTTTCTGCATCAGCGCTTCATTAAACCTATGGTGCGCATAGACAAAATCATAGTGATCTGAGTCAAAGTGAGACCATTGGTTAAACAAAAACCTGAACCTGGTGGTATTGAGTTTGTTGGTGGGTGATGCGCCCGTTGCTAGAAACAATTAAATTAACATTGCATGCTTCGCTATGAGTCATATGCTTTGCATTGCATCTACATATATCATGTAGTATACAATATATATATTGTGATTGACACAAAGGTAGCAACAAAGCTCTTCCCTCCGTCAGCACGGCCGCGTGCGGTTTTCCTCTCTCACGGCTCACCTGAAGATTGGTCGCGTACGAACGAAAGGGTGCCTCGCCCGTGGAATGCAGTGTCCTCACTG